ATATTTAAGCTATATCAAAAACTGATCCCGTATCCCTTTAAACAACACTTTTTCGACCCGTCTACCATCCTGTACGCCGTGCGAAATCACGCCCTTGTCGGCGCCGTTGAGCAGATCCAAACGGCTGCGAGTTTAACGGTAAGGCTACGCCGGAATACTTTTTTACTGATCGATCACTTTTCTTAATAAACAAAATGGTTTTCAGGAATGTATAGATCTATGCTTTGCCGCGAAGAAATTGAGCGGCTTCAACTGCTCGTCGGCCACCTGGTACGGCAACGATCGCGAGCAGGTCAGGCCGAGCCTCGCGGCGTAATCGGTTTTGTTCCAGAATTGTCTGCTGAATTCGGGTACTCGTTGGTCCAGGAATGCGGTGAGTTGATGAGGCTTACAAGGGAAGTGCACGACCGGCCCACGAGAAATCGACACGAGACATAGTGGATCTGATAGAATCGGACACGGAGATTCCGAATATGTAATTAGAATTTGCTAAATAAAACGGAGAAAAAAGTTATGAAGCTTCAAAGTTTGCAAAATCGCCAAAAACCGTACCTTTAAGGGCCCGTAAAAACCGGTGGAACGGAATTGAGAAGAAAAAAAATTAGTGCAGCTTGTTCAGCAGAAAAAGAGCTTTCGAATGAGCTGTAATACGTAGCATTTGCAAACAATTCACTGAAAAGAGTTTTTTTGGATTCACGGGCAAGGGTATGGCCTGTCAAGTTCATAAAAAGATTTCTGCGAAATCATCGTAAACTTGTAGTAAGATAGCTCATTCGAAAGCGCTTTTTCTGCTGAACAAGATGCACTAATGGGTTGTGGCAAATTTTCATTCCCTGGGCCTTTACAGGCCCATAAAAGTCCGATTTTGGGCGATTTTGCCAACTTTGAAGCTTCATAACTTTTTTCTCCGTTTTATTTAGCAAATTCTAATTACATATTCGGAATCTCCGTGTCCGATTCTATCAGATCCACTATGTCTCGTGTCGATTTCTCGTGGGCCGGTCGTGCACTTCCCTTGTTAGCCTTGGGCTTGGGCTTGGGCTTGGCTGAGGATTAAGTTAGTTGGCTTATGCTTAGCTTAGGCTTCGCTAAGGCTTTGGTTTGGGCCTAGGCTTGGCTGGGTCTTAGGCTTGGCTTAGGCTTGGGCTCAAGTTTAGGCCTGGGCAATAAGATTGGTTTAGTTCTAGGCTTAGGCTTGGCTTAAAGCTTAGGATTACCTGAATCTTAGGTATACGTTTCGGCTTCAGCTTGGGCTTAGGTTAGGCTTGGCACAGGCTTAGGTTGAGGCTTAGGCTCAGGCTTAATCAAGCTTGCGTGCTTATTTGGCTTGGATCTTAGGCCTTCATCAAATCCGACGTCCCGCTCGTCTACTTTGAAGCTTTTGACGCATCCCTGCGAACGAACTACAGCCTACAAACTATAAAAGTATACAGAAAAACGTATAAAATACTTAACAAAACGATGTAGAAAACGCTAACACCGCCAAATCAATGGACGTTTTGGTCGACGTGCAGTCGCCCCGACGTTTTGTGGCGGCACAGGTTTGTTAAGCCAAAAAAAAATGAGATTTGGTGGATTTAGATACAAAAAATGCAGCGAGCCCGACGTACGACATTGCGTAAAAGAAGTAGCACCGTGTAAAGGTATAAATCCATTAAAAAAAACCTCAAAAGCCATAAATTTAAGTGAAAAAACGGCTGGCGAAAAGCTGAAGAGGTCCAGCTCCATCTACGGCGACGACAATTCGCTCAATTAAATATAGTATTATTCTTAATTGGTGCTTTGGCATTATCGGGGGAGTATTTTTTGTTTAGGAAAAAGGAATAAAAAAAGAAATTAAAACTTAAAAAAAAACTTTTTAAGTGTTTTTACTAATATTTAACTATATTCAAGTGGAAAACCCTAAAAATTTCGAAATTTTCGTCGAGAATCGGCCATCCTTGGGAAAAAACGTTATTTTTGTATTCTTACTAAAAAATGGCAAGGTTTGCGCGTCTAGTAGATAAGCAAAAATTGTAGAAACACTTCGTCGATTTACATTAAAGAATCGGATACTAAAGAAAAGGAGTGGAACTCCCACCGATAATGCAAAATATGCCATTAATAAATTTATCTATTTTAATTATTATTACTGTATTTATTTATTATAAATCTCGCCTGTGAATTCTAGGTGCTGATAAAGCCATTTATTCCTTTGTAAGAGCGGGGGCCGGGAGACGCCCTCTATTCACCACCCCCTCCCGCCGCCCCGTCCACCCAGTGGCCTGGCTCAGCGCCAAAACGATTGGCCCCCCGTGCGCGCGACCCGGGTTCGACCCCCCGCCGCGGCATTGTGCGATGATAATAATTACTTTCGTTCTACTGAAGCCTCATGTGGAATTACCTACATTAGCTGAGCACATTTTTTGCGTTCCGGAAGGGACATACGGGAGTTGGCTTCGGCAAATATATTTTTAGACTGTTTTTTAATGCTCTAAAATACAAATTTCAGATCAATAAGTAATACAAGATCTAAGCTTGAAGGATGACACTCGGTCAACATTAACAGGTTACTTTATTATCAATAAAAATTGGATAAGATTTCTAAAATCTTACATTTTAGAAAAACCACCTTTTTATCTTTTTCTAAGCTCAATTCGATTAATTTTGCATAGCCTCAAAAAGACAATAAATAAAATAAATTACTGACTTAACTAAAAGAAACAACTAACTTTAGATAAAGACTTTAAAAAAATATAAAGCTTCGAAAGACTTTAAAAAATATAAAATACTGAAAAATACAGGTTTACCTATTTTACATTCGTCATTAACTTTGTATACCGCTGAAACGGCATTAAACGGAATTAAATGGTGCGTTGATTAAAAGAAGTGTACTTTTAATACATAACTTTTTTATATATTTTTATTAACACGGATCCTATATAACTTTTTAAGTATGCTAAAATCGAAACAAAATACGTACCCCTGGCAAAACCTGCAAAAAGCTTCTCAGCAGTAGTACGAAGGGTTATCTACATAGGAATGTTCTGCACAGACCACGAGTGTCATCAGTGAAGCTGAATCCGGGTGGGTGTCGCCGCGGCGGGAGGTCGAACCACGGACCCCCGCCCCTTGGGCCCAACCCGCTAGCCGTCAGGCCACGCTGCAAGGTGGGGCTGGCGCGCCCTCTCGAGGTATGTCGGTGGGGAGGCAGAAGGTCACGTAGAAGAGCAAAAATGCTCGCGTTTTGAAGCAATAATTTTAAAAGAATTTATTATTATATTGCTATTTTAATAAATAGAAGTAATTTTCAGAATACGTGTTCATCTAAAAACCTGACCGCCTTTAAAACGGCTCAAAAGTATCCATAGCCAATTTCTAACTTTTTGCAGACTTTTAGATTGTGTAAAATGTGTATTTCGTTAGAAACAAATAGTCATTACCCGGTAGCAACGATTAACCCAGCGTTTCGGCCTAAAAATCGATATCTAACCCCTGACACGGGGTCAATTCCGTGTCCGATCCTTATCACGCCCTCCCTTTTATCTCTCGAAAATTTATCTTTCAACGTTCAGCCAATCTTTCAATAGCTATAGCTAAGTTTCTAATTGAATTGATTTAGGTAATTGCTGTTTTCGTTAAAAAGCGGCATTTTTCTATAACGGTTAGAAATGCTGTCCAAACAGGATTCTCTAATGCTCGCCGGTTTCGTTGGTGGCTCCATGGCGGCGCTTCAGGTACGAAAAATTTTCTTATTTCTTTTCATAATTTGCTTTAACTCTTGTTATTATCTTTTACCGCTTACCTACTACTTTTCTATCTGCCTTGCTTTTCCGGTTCTGGACTATTAGCAGGGGTGGAGAAGCTGGTTAGCCTCTAAATATCGAAATTTCAAGCGTTGCACGACGTATTTTAGGGGTTTTTGAAAGTTACAGGTTTTACAGGTTGTTTTTGATTACAGAAAACCCAGAAGCATCTTTAGAACATTAGAAAAAGTGGAAATTTCAAAGTTAATCTAGCCCCCCCCCCCCGCTAAAAGTCAAGAACCATTCCCTTGATTTAGTTATATCGACTCATCACGCGGAAACGTGGCAACGATACGGAATGGGTGCCGGTCGGCCGGGTGCGCGATCTGTACATCTACCCCCTGAAATCGTGCCGGGGTCGTCGGGTTTTCTCGTTGCATTGTGACGATATGGGGGGCTCGGCATATGCAGAGTCGCGACAGAATGTTCCTCGCCGTACATCCGGATGGACAGTACGTTTTTTGGCTTTTACATGACTCAAACCGTTCGAAAACGGCGGTTTAGCTTTACTGCTACTACCTACCTGTTAATAGTATATAAGGTAACATTTTAGCTGTTTTTGTTTTCTAGCAAGGTACAAAAGTCATAGAAAAAAAACGTGAAAATTAAAAATTCTGACCTTTTTGGCCCTTTTTCATGCATTTTCCATCAAAAAGTCTAAATTTTTCAAAAGTTTTTATTGTTTGTGAGCTTGTTATTTTTAAAAACTGTTTAAATTGTCATAAAAATGGTTTCGATTTCGATATAAGGCCGGCGGAATTATCAGAGAAAAAAAGATAAGTTTCCTCGTTAAAAATCCCAACCCCCGTTAACAGAAAATATCCAAACCCTTGTTCAGCTTCTTCACCGGACGCGCCAACCCTCAACTCGTGTTATTGGATTGTTTCGTGGAGTAAGTTGGTTGAAAAGCCTACAAACTCGTTTAGGGACGGCAAGATCAAGCTGGCCTACAAGGGGAAGACGCTGGAAGCGGATCTTGAAGAGGTGTATCGTCGAAAGCAGGTCCTCCCCGCAGAGTTGGTGTTTTTATTTGGATGTTAAGAGCTTAGAAAACTTCAAAAAAGGCTAAATCCTGCAAAATTCTTTCCAGACTTCACGCCAAACTCCGCCAGGACGGGTACGACTGCGGCGACGAGGTGGCCGCGTTTTTGAGCGAGGTCCTGGAGGAGGGTAATTTATTACGGCATGATATTTGAAGTGTATCTAGACGCGCGGATGGTCGTCTACAGCCCGGAGTTGTTCACGGAACGCACGGCGATCCCGAATGCCGGGTGGTGGAGGAATCCGGTGCCGACGGAGCGGCGGGACGACGTGGGAATTTCGGTTTTGTAGTTTAGAGCTTGGAAAAGTTTTTCGAAACATCGTTAGAAAAATCGAAAAACTCTTTAGAGCTATTTCGTCGACCTGGCACAGTTCATGATCACCACCAAGGAGTCGCTGGACGAGGTGAACGAGCTGTTGGGGCGGAGCGAGAATCCGGTAGGTGGATTTTAGGTAAAGCTTTACGGTACTGGCTCGTTTGCGGGGGTGCCAATTTTTTTAAAATTCTTGTAGGGCTACTTTTAGAACTATTAAAAACACAAATAGTATTAACCTTTATTAATAAGCACAAAAATGTCGATTTTTTAACCAAAATGGCCAAATTTCGAATTTTTTAGATATTTTTGATACGATATAGCTAAATTTCGCTAGAAATCAGTAAAAAACGCGCTCCACCTACCGTATACAGATCAACAGCGTGCAATTCCGAGGGAACATCGTGGTGGACAAATGCTCGCAGGCTTGGGATGAGGATATGTGGTCTGAGCTGCGATTTGGCGACCATTCCGCCTCGACCGTGCTGCAATGCTACAAGCCGTGCACGCGGTAGGTGAAGTCCAAGGTTTCTACCCCGGTTTACAGATGCATCTTCACGACGGTCGACCCGGAAACGGGGACCAAGGACCCTGGGCAGCAGCCGTTGCAGATGCTCAAGGAGTATGCTTCATCTTCAAGTCGTTCTAGCCGTTTTTAGGCACCGCATGGCCCCGCCGGATCTGGTCAAGGACCTCGGAAAGCTGCCAATTTTTGGTGTCAATGCCGGGACAAAGGTAGGAGGACAAACTGCCTCGGTCTTAAAGACTACCAGAACGATGGAACGCGCACTGTCACCCCGAGGGTGCTGCCCCCAAGAACGCGCAGAGAGCATCGTCATTAGTGGCGTCCCGTATTGGGCAAGGACCCTCTGGGGTTTGGGGCGCCTCTGACTCCCTTCCCCACTTGACCCTGTGGTATAGTGGCTAGCGCGTCGGACTGTGGCGCGAACCATCGCGGGTTCGACCCCCGCCCGGTGCGCAACTTTCTTGCTCTCAACGGAATTTCATCGTTCTGACGGTCTTTAAGCGGTATTTTGCCAATAATCTTTGTCGAAAATTAGGGTTTCGAAATTCATTTTCGATAATCATTTGTTGTCGACTTTTTTCATTTTTTTCGACACTTTTCGAAACTTGATTTTTGATATGATTAGACGTCCCAAACAGATGATTTTTCTTTTCCACATGTGGAGATGAATAAATTTCGACAAAAAGCAATTTCAAAATATTAAATTTCGACAGAATTTCGAAAAAATGAAATTTGGACCAGAATCTCGCAACATAAATTTTCGACAAAATTGATTTCGACATATTGATAACAAATTCATTGCGTAATCGATTACGCAATAATAACGAGCGTACGCGTTGTGTGTCGCGTCCACAGTCAAGAAAATCCCTAGTGAAACCATAGTTTGTAACTACATCTCCTAGATACCCGGCTACATCTACGAGGGCCAAACCGTTTGGGCCCGCCTCAAGCCGTGCGCCTTCTAAAATGCGATCCATTCCTTTAAATGTGATAAATATTTATTTATCGCCTGCCGGCGAATAGCAAATCCGTATACGGCAACGAGTTCTGGCGTCGATGCAGCGAAATCGGGGCAAACCCGAAATTCGACGTGTAGAATGTCGGCAGGGGGTTGTATTTGCGTTTTCGCACCTGAAAAAATTGTTTAAAATCTTTGGTTGAATTTTCGAGGCTTTAAAATGCGTAGATTCTGGGAAAATAGACAGCCAAAATCGCAGCACGGCCGCGCACGCGAGTATTTTAGTGGAAACACGTAAATTTATCGCTTGGAAAGTGTTGATTTTAATGGCTAAATTGACAGGAATTAGCAAATTTTTATAATGTAGTGATCTAAAATTCCCCGAAAATCCGATGTAAAAATTTTCGATATATTGCAATGTGGAAATTATGAAATTTTGGCATTTCGTCATTTTCAACAAAAAAAAAACGGCAAATTCGACGAGCCTTCTCAGCCCCTTTAATCATGCAAAACGCGGAATCCTGGACCCACAATGATCCTTGTGCGCGGCGGTTTGTCGCGGTTGTACGCGCTCTTCCGCTTCAGGGAAGAGTAACTGTCTTGGAGCAGCAACTCGATCGGATCACTGAAAAGGGTAACGTCATTTTTCTAACTTTCCGGTATGACTTATGTTAGTTTCCCGATAAGTCGACTTACCTCATGAATCGTATGCCAGGCACTCGGGCCTCCACCGGCTCGAGTAGGGGTAGAAAGAGGAAGGCGACGCATAACAGCACGGCTCTCGTTCGCCATCTTCGAAGCATCGCTGAAGTTAGCGTTGGAAACGTATAGAAACCAGTAGAACTCCATTAAAAATGAAAGCGGGCCATAAAAAAGGCATGCCTATCTTGTACAAAGCGACTTCTGGCACTGGTCTGTTAGGGGGGGGTGGGATCGAAACTCATTTTCACTGTTCCGCCAATTAAGGGTAATACATAGCTAATTTTGCCTTTCTTGGTTTTTATTAGTGTGCGCTTGTAAGCATATAAAAAACTAATTTGAAAAGTTTTCCTTCATTTATGGTTACTTTTTGTCAAAATGCGTTTTTATTTTTGTTTTTACTTATTTATTATTTATTTATTTCAAGTTGCGTTGTTTTTCCATTTAAAAACCCGTGTAAAAGGGGTATTGTCGCTATTGCTGGAAAAATTAGCCTTGGTCGCCAACCCCCCCCCCCCGCCCCCCGTTAAGAGTTCAGCACCAAAATTCACTGTTATCTGCCAAAAGCGTTTCACCAAAAAATATGAAAAAATTACTTGGCGCTAAAATTAAGTGGCTGACGATATTAGACGTCTACTGAGACCCAGAAATGCAATAATGAGTCGACCTTCCGGAAGGGATTATCCCGCCCATAAATCCAAAAAAACCAGGTGTTTTGAAAAGGCAGTCACGTCAACTGGGCCGATTTTTTTGTATCCGGCTGACGAATTGACGACAATGGGGATCGAGCGAGAGATTCCCATAGAGAGTGAGAGAGAATGAGAGGGAGAGAGCGAGAGACAGAGAGACAGAGAGAGAGAGAGATAGTGAGAGGGAGGGAGAGACGGATCAACAGACCCTTTTAAAAAGTCAAGGGACCAAATTTGTTACTCCAGATTAGCGCGGACGATCCTAAAGAATGCGCGCGAAGCGCAAGCCTTGGATGCGGACTCCAATTCGCGGCGAGTTGAGTGTTTGCTGTGGCGGATCTGATGATACCACACTGGCCCCGCGGGGCGATATGCAAAAAGTGGCGAAGATTTCCTGGCCAGAATTGGAAGCACTTGAGCGAAAAATTGCCATTTTAGCATTTTTCGTGGTAGTATTCAATAAGATCTGATTTTCAATTCTTAAAAAATGTTTGAAAATTTTAGAACGAAAGAATTTTTTTGTAATTTTTATCAATTGCACGTGAAATCGTCGGGAATTCCAATTATTATGGATTGTTTCTCTCTAAAAACCGGTGTAAAATGCTATTAAAACGGACTAAATTTCGCTACAGGTGTCATAACCTAGGTGATTTCTCTATGAGGGATCACTGCTAGATTACGATATTCCCATTTGGGTAACTACGATTTACCTTCTAAGTCCGCATACTAACTATACTGAACTTATCTGACCTCCGTGCTAAGGTTGCATCTCTGTAATTAACCACGTCTATTAATAACTTAACCCATTTAATGGTAAATTGGCACCCTAGACTAGTTTCGGGAAGCTGAAGGAGAAGACAAACATTAATGTGTGGATAAGTGGCCTGATGGCGCTTTCGATGTAATTGACTGTAAAAGTGAAGCTTACGGTATGGAGTTTTTCTTAGTTTATTTAGCATTCCATAAGAGCAAAATGTGCAAAGGGTTTTTAAGGAAAGAGATAAGAGCCCGGGAAAGGATGCCAGGCAACACGGAGACTCAGGCCCAATAATTTAAAATAAGAGATCATAAAGATCTAAAAGTCAATCCAAAAGATTCAGGACCATCGGCCCTTCGGCCTCCGGTCCCTCCTCTGGGTTTTCTAGGTAAAGCTTAGAGCTAGCGTACCGTTCCTAGACTAGGTCAAGACTCGGCAAGAAGTGGGGAGCACCCGCAGGGGTCCTCCCGGGGCCTGTTCCTCCGCGTGGGCGTGTCTCTCCACCTATCATATAGGACACAGGGCCGTACAGAAATGCAGGAGAAAAAAAATGATCCTGCTAAAGCGGAACCAACAAAAAATCCCCAGACATTTTCAGCTAGATCTCGAAAAACCTGGCCGATTTCCGAGTTTATGGCACCACGATGATCAGGCGAAACGGAAACGGCAAAGATCACGGGATACAGATGGATGACGAGACAAACAACGGCAAGACTGGGGCCGATGTGGAGGGCAGCCAGATGATGCCTGACGCGCACTCGGATCCGGTCAGGGACCCGGATCGGATCTCTCGCTATTCCTCGAGAGGGCCCTTCCCATTCGGCTTTTGTTTCCCCGCATCCCGCGATTCAGCCGGGTCATATACAATCGAGAGAGGGGGGTTGAACCAGTGCAAACGCATCTCAGTTTTTGCAGGTGTCGTGCAGAACTCGATTAGCCTTCCTCAATGGTCTCTGCTAGCCCTCCCCAATGGTCTCTGCTAGCCCTCCTCAATGATCTCTGCTAGCCCTCCTCAATGGTCTCTGCTAGCCCTCCTCAATGGTCTCTGCTGGCCCTCCCCAATGGTCTCTGCTAACCCTCCTCAATGGTCTCTGCTGGCCCTCCTCAATGGTCTCTGCTAGCCCTCCTCAATGGTCTCTGCTAGTCCTCCTCAATGGTCTCTGCTAGCCCCAATCCGTTCAATAAAACAAATACTTTATTCAACATTCACAGGGCTAATTTCGATCACAACACACATGAATGATTCTGAAAATCGGTGGTGACTTTAATATTTTAATAACTGTTGGTATTGATGGTGTTCATTTATCATCCGTATTTCACTGGCATATCGACGACTTTTTCGACTTCTTTGTGCGGGTGGACGGGGCGATGGCGGTTTTGCTGCACGTCTCCTGGGGAGGGCACGAGGATTTCTGAAGACCTTGTATAAATCTGTATCTCCGCCTTGCCACCATCCCCCCGCCGCTAAGAAACTAGAACCAAAATTCCTCTCCCCCCGCTAAAAACCCAGTCCCAAATCACCTGGGTGGATCGTGTCTTGGTGGTTCCTTTCGACAGGGGAACCCGTTCGAGAGATCGAGTCTTGAGGGCAGGGGCAGGTGGCTCGCCGGGGATACCTTGGAATCGACAGTTCACCGGATATGGATAGCACGGATCCATGCGGCCCGTTTGCTGAAAGATGACCCGGATACAGCAGGCAGGAAAGGGCTACATCCAACGAATTGTGCGTCAGATCGTCCTCAAACGTCAGACTCATCATCGTGGAGAGGATGCCGGCCTCGTTGGCGGTTAGTTGTTCCTTGAAATGAGGAAAAATCATAGCTTAGGCTTGGCTTAGGCTGAGCAGGCTTAGGCTTAGCGAAGGCTTAGGCTAGGCTTACTGTCAAGTGTTTTTACTCAGGCTGGCGTTTTAGGATGGGACCAAGCCTATCTTGTTCAGAATTTTTTGCTGGTTCCGAATCCGTTTTCCAAATTTGCTGCGGACTTCGCGTTGAAAAGTCATTTGAGGTCTAAATTAAGCTTAAAAACGGCAGAAATTCGGATGCTGGCCCACTATTGCCTGCCTGGGTCCAGTTATGGTGGTGCCCCTTATCTACACTCCCGAAGCACCCTTCCCAGTTGGCACCATGGTGCATTGGTAAGCTGTTCGTTTGCCAAGCACAGGGCGGCGGTTCGAACCCCGCCCTGCACAATTTCTTTTGCTTTTTGCACAAAAACAAATGATTTTTTGCATAAAATCGCGTTTTGACCTCTAAAACTGTTATCGAGCCATTTTTAACGTCGGAGATGACGACAAATTAAAAATTAACGCAAAAAATGCAGGTTTAGTCAGTTTTTTTAGTATAAATGTCGAATAACTTTTTAAATAAAGGTCGGCAGCAAATTTGGAAATCAGATTCGGAATGAGCCAAAAATTCTGCACAAGATAGGCTTGGTCCCATTCTAAAAAGCCAGCCTGAGTAAAAACACTTTACAGTTAGACTTAAGCTTAGGCGTGGCTTAGGCTTAGGCTTGGCTTACTTGGCTTAGGCTTACGCTTAGGCATTGGCTTAAGCTTGAGCTTAAGTTCATCTACTGCCTACCGTATCGTTGGTGACGCCAATCTTCTTGAGGTAGACGCTCACGTCGAACGGCACGGCGAACGGCTTGTGCAGCTCGACGAGCTCGCGGGTGTACGGGGGAGCGCCGCGGAATCTAAGGATTAGATGTACTTTTGACACCAGTTACCGTATCTTGTACACCACCGGAACTTCCGAAGGGCCGAAGAGGCGAGCCGGAAACTTGCGCCAGTCGGGCACATTCTAAAAGGAGTAGGTAAGCCAAAGCCAAGCCGAAGCCTATGTCAAGCCGCCGCCATTAAGCAAGCCTGAGCCAAGCCTAGGCTAAGCCTAAGTCAAAGCTAAGCCTAATCCTAAGCCTAAGCCAAGCCTAAGCCAAGCCTAAGTCCCACTCACCAAGCACCAATCAGCCACGGGGAGCATGGCAATCGAGACGCGCTGCGAGCCCATGTGATGCGGATCGTAGCGTGTAATCTGAGTGTTCTCATTTGTAGCAACTCGTCGCGAGGTCCCACCACGATCTTCGTCTGGCTGTCCGGCTCGCAGATGAAGTAGGGCGCCTTGTCACAGGACAGCTTGCCGCCGCCGGTGCCACGAACCTGGAGCTCAAGTTTGGAGGTCTTTTAGGACGCCCTGTAGATGATCTGGTTAGAGTGCGGTTTACCCCCCCGCCAGCCCTAACTTTTCAGCCATTGGTCCTATTAATGCGCCGAGTATCTCAAAATGTTCGCCGTGGTCGAATTACTATAAACAAGTTGTTTTTTTGCGGCAAAAATTGCTAGAAATTTTTTTACAAGATTTTGAAAGTTGAAAAGATTAAGCCGCTGTGCTTCAATGTACCAGGAGTCTAAAACTCCAATATTTTTGTTTTTCGCTATTTTTTCGACTCAAACGTACTGTGGGCTCATTCTCCAGAGCAAGAGCTACATTTTGGTACCATTGACAGCTTTGTACGTCAAAATACAGCCGAGATACGAAAACTCACTTTGGAACAGCAAAAATTAACTAAAGAAAACCCAGACTTATAATTGTTATAAAAATTTTTCTAACAATTTTTGGGGCTACGGTTTACTTTACCCCCCCCCCCCAGCCGGAAGTTTTTGGCTATAACTTTTTTATTTTACATTATTGTAGGCTCAAATTAAAACTCGTAGTATATTTTTCGACGCTCTATCGAATGGCGTTGCGAAAATCCCGATAAAATAAGCGGAAATACCGACAACTTTGAGACCCTTCGGCTGTGGGGGGGTAAAGTAAACTCTTACCATTTTTGGGGTAAGAAAACAACTTTTTTATAGTAATTCGACCACGGCGAACATTTTGAGATACTCGGCGCATTAATAGGACGTATGACGGAAAAGTTAGGGCTGGGGGGGGGGGGTAAACTGCACTTAAGCCGATGATCTAAAATCCCACATGGCATGCGATGGGCAACGGCGTGGGGTTGTAGATGATATGCTGGGTGCGGCCGTCCTTGCAGTGAAGCAGATCGACGTACCGCGGCTCCACCTCGACGTCGGCGAAGATGTTGTAGTGGCTGAAGGAATTCGGGGTATTCAACCAAGTGCCAAAAGTACGCTAGAAGCCCAATGACGAACCGTGAATAAAGTGGGGGGCCCGGTTTTTGCGCCTTCGAGTCCTTCGAATCGTTCGACTTTTCGGCGTCGCCCATTTTTTTGGGAGGCTGTGAAGGCGTAATGGGGTGTATTTAGCACTACAACGTCTCGAATATTTTATGCAAATTTATGATTTAAAGCACGGATTAAAACAATGACTATGGAGGTAAGAGAATTATTTTAGGGTAGTAATTGTGGTAGATGAGGATGAGGAGAGACTGCTCTTGTCCGGCATGACCTCCTTGACGACGATCGGCACGATGTCGCCGCTGGCCACGCGCGCGTTTTGGACCGGGTAGTGCTAAAAAGGTTAGGTTTTGAGCATAGCCAAAGCCTAAGTCAAGCATAAGCCAAGCCTGAGCCTAAATTTAGGCATACCCACCCTATGACCCCGTAGATATCTCCCGCAAAGCAGCCCCCTCAACGCCTTCAGCGGGCTACGGTAGGGCACGAAAAAGGCCATGCAGAGGATGACGAGAAACCCGGGGAACAACACGCTGAACAGCTCCACGTAGGCCGGCATCTAAAGTAATTGTTCTTCCCCAAAAATCTCTGCCTGTTTGCCAGTGAGCATGACCTACCGTCGGCCAATCGAGCATAAAGTTCTTGATGTCCTTGATGGTGATGGGTTGGTAGATGACGGCGAGTAAGAAGCGCGACTGGATGACTGGAATCATGGAATTGATGCGGAGTTAAATTAGAGGTTGGGATATGATACGCTACAATACGACACGATACGATACGCTACGTTACGATACCGCAGGATACACTACGCTACGATCCTAGATATTACACCTACAGATACGGTATCCCGCGTACGCAACAAGGGCACACACGAAAGCGGCCGGCTTGTAGTATTTCTTCATGCTGATACGGAACGAGGCCGCGCACGCGCCGAAACAGAACTGAAAGGTGGTCGGTAATTTTTCGCACTTCCCTATCGGCAATTTTCTCTGCTAGCCCTCCACAATGGTCTCTGCTGATCCTCCTGAATCTGCTCTACGTCCACTTACCATTAGCCCAATCGCCAGCGTAGCCACGTGTAGCAGCAACGGTAGTACGGTAATCAGCGCGGAGACCCCGTGGAATACGGTAGCATTGTCCACCCCAATACAGTAGCACAGCGAGGAACACGGCAAATATGACAATTAGCAGGTAGGCGAGCCTAAAATCACGATTTTTGGATTGTTTTTAGTTTATCACGTATTTTCCCATGAATTCCCTTACACTCCGCTGTACGGTTTCTTGTCGATGAAGCCGAGCATGTGGGTGGAGATGTACAGAAACGTGCAAATGGGTGCCGCCACGAACGATACCGTACCCAGCAGGTGCCACACCAGGAATTGGGTCGGGTAGCTGAAAAGCTGCTTGCTTAGACATAAGCCTAAGCCTAAGCCGAAAGTCAAGTCTAAGCCCAAGCCTACGCCATACAACCCTACCCGATGCCAAGATACGACAGCGGCACATCTCCAAGCAGTTCATGGAAAAGCAGCAACACCGTTTGCAAGAACGGGATCAACACCAGCGCCAAGATGAAGCCGTTCGAGTAGAAGCGATCGGACCGCGCGGATGCCAGCAGCGCGAAGAACAGGTAGCCGCACAGCGCGAGCAGCACCACGCTCAAGTAGTTCAGGTAGCCTGAACTTGCGCAATTTGTTTCGGGACTTTAGAAGAACTGGAAAAGCCATACGGATTCTAGGTGCTTGCGCATTATCGGGGGGAGGGAGGGGAAGGGTATCACTGCTAGCCACCCACCGCAGGTGAACGGCTTGAGGGTGGCGGCCAGCCAGCCTCCCAGCTCGGTATCGTTCTGGAGTATGGTGTTTCGGTAGACGATATAGAGTCCATTTTCTAGGTTTTAGGCTGAAATAGCAAAATGGGGATACGAGAATAATAAGGTGGAAGGGGAATTTTGGAGCTTTCGGGGGGCATGGCGGCCAAAGTGAGCAGGTGTTTGGGGTGTTGCTGCGGAGACGGGGCAGCTGATTTTTCGGGGTTTTTCACGTCAAGGGATGGTACTGTGGCTGGTGGATTTTTTTCGGCAATTTCATCACTTCCTTGTCAGGGGCAAATAGAGAATGAGTGAAAAGAAGACACAGCGAGAGAGGACGAAGAGAGAGAGAGAGAGAGAGAGAGAGAGAGAGAGAGAGAAAGCGTGAGAGAGGCGAAGAGAGAGGCGAAAGAGAGAGAGAGAGAGAGAGAGAGAGAGAGAGAGAGAGAGAGAGAGAAAAGGAAAGAGAGAGAGAGAGAGAGAGAGAGAGAGAGAGAGAGAAGAGAAAGCGAGAGAGGACGAAGCGAGAGAGAGAGAGAGAGGACGAAGTGAGAGAGATAGAGAGAGAGAGAGTGAGTGGGAGAGAGCCAATCGAGTAAAGTCCCTATTTCCATCCTTTTCAAATCGTCCATCATTCCTGGCT